GTTTATATCATAGCTCTTCCAAGTCTTATGGGTTTACAACAAATTTCAACAAATTATTTAGCCAGAATTATAAGTAAAAGAAGCACAAAAGGAAATATCATCACATTAAGGTTTAATGATTATTCTATAAACATTCTACACATCCTATAAATCCTACCTATTCATATCAAGAGATACGTAAAAGAAATCTACTCACAGAACATAAAGAACGACATAAAAATCATCATCATTTAACAAAGCAAATCTACTAAATATGTGTTTATAACAAATACAAGAAAATTAGTAACACGATATTTGGCTTTTCTCCCTTGAAAAGAGATGAAAAATCCCTCCAACAATGTTCCCAAGTGCTTCTTACAATACTGAAATGATCTCATTATAGATTTCTCTCAAAACCCCTCACCAATCTATCAAGAAAAGTGGAAAATAAACCCTAGATCTTCCTACGACTTCTTTGTCTTTCTTCACTTCCAAAAGGCAACAGAAGTGCCAAGAGTCTTCCTTCGAACCGTTTAAATCGACCCGGTAACTCCTACGATCGTGCTGAATTAATTGCTGGAACTGGCCAGAAACAGGCCAGTGCCTTGGCACCACAGAGCTTGCGGATAAGCGTCGACCTCTCGGTTTGTCGGACTGGGCACTACGCCTAGGTGCCCCGTAAGCTGACGCCAAAGCACTTGAATGGAGAGCCTAAGCGCAAGCCTACTGGTCTCCAAATGCTCTATTTTGCCTCCAATTCACTCTATTTCAACTCTGCTTCGCTTCATGCGTCCTACTTGTTATACCTGCAAGAAAAACATGAAAATATATTTCTTTAAAGTGTAATTTCAACAAAAACAAGTTTTAAATGTAAAGAAAATTGAGCATGCTAAAGGACACATGATTCCATGAGTTATATACTCCCGAATTGGATATCTAATATAGCTTTATTTGTCATCAGCACCAAAAGAGGAAGGGGATAACTCATTAGTAGACTCCTCACTCAAAATTTCAAATAAAAGTGGACTTAGATTTTGGTTAAAATAGTTCTATCTTTGCAAGTTGTCTTCCACCTGCTCAAGTTTCTTCTTCATGCTAGTGTACACACGAAGGTCTTTGTTGTACAATTCAGGTTTAGTTGGTTGGATACCCTCAATAAGAGCAAGAGAGTCAAGTGGAAGAGAAGTAGAAAGAGTAGGTGGGCGTGTAGGCATCATCTGTATCCCAAAATTCATCTTCATTGCACTATCCCCCTAAACATTAAATGTGACATGCATGAAGTTGTAATATTTTCCAGTAACATAAGGTAACACTTATATCTTTTTTATTGGAGGAATACCCAAAGAAATACACTTGATAGATTTAGAGTTTAGTTTAGTGCGAGTTGGGGAATGGATTTGAACAAAGGATATACACCAAAAGATATTTAGTGGTATAGTACAAGAGTATACTATGATGTGAGGATAGCTAACCATCAAAAAATTAAGTGGTGTTTTGAAGCTAAGTACCAGACTAGGTATTTGATCGATAAAATATGTTGCAGTAAGAGCTGCTTATTGGAACTTGATCGAAAATTATAATTAAACGGGATACCTTAAAGAGATGTCTGTTCTTTCTCTCTGCTATCACATTTTGTTATAGGGTATCAGTACATAAACTGACATTGATCATTCCAGTTTTTCAAAAGGTAAGACCCAATGATGAAGTTAAAATAATCCTTTGTATTATCATTTTGATAATCTAAATTTTAGATTGGAATTTAGTTTAAAGCATGGCATGGAAAGTTTGAAAGATTTGATTTGTTTCAGATTTCTCTTTAATTAAGAATACTCAAGTAGTTCTAGTGTGATAGTTAAAAAATGAGACAAACCATCTAGCCCCACTTAAAGTTTTCACCTTTGAAGGTCCAAACTATCCTTGTGGATAATCGAAAAAGGGTGTGAGGGTTTATATTGAGTCATGGGATAACTATTTCTAATGTGTTTGACAATGTGACAAATCTCACATTAATAAAAATCATATTTTTTTTATTGATAAACAGATAAGATATAACTGAGCAATATAATTAAAATTAAGATGACACAATTGACAATACCATGATATGAACTATTTTTCGACAGACATGAGCTCAGCAGACTCGAAAATTTGAGATAAATATAGAGGTGAGATCATAAGTTTATTTAGATAGAGAGGCCTTCTTTGAGCAGCTGTAAGTATTGATGTATTTTAGCACTATCAATCATCTTCCTCGATTCCACCAGTTGAAATTCACAAGAGTTTGAAAGAAATTTAATATATTTTATATCAAGAGTAAACTTACTGATTGAAATTAAATTATAATTTGACTGTGAAACATATAAAACAGAGGAAAGTGATATCTAAAGAGAGCTCCACATCTACTTTTCCAGCAATGTTTGAGCCTCCTACTAGTTGACTAAAGTATTACAGTTGGTGGTCAAAACACACGAGGCTCCAGAATCTACATTCCAAATTCTAATCTCACATTACTAGCAAGATGGAAGAAGGATATATTATTTTGGTGTTATGAGGTTGGTATGTTGCTCAGCATTACCTCTAAGGAGTTTCTTTAGTGCTTCAAGCTGTTCCTTGGTGAATTCTGCCAATCCTTCAGATGTGATAGCGGCATTAGTAATTTTTCACTTGATCTTTCCTTCCTTATCTAGGTTTCTAGTCTACATGCTTTCCATGAAGTTTCCATCATTTGTATTTGATATGCCCAATCCTCTTGAAATAGTCACATGTGAGATGTCTCTTTTTGAGTTTTGAGTTATGGGAAGAATTATGGGTGAAAAGGGCTAAGCTGTCAGTACTTGGCGAACCTCCATTTCTGGTCAACATCAAATTCTTTGTGCTCTCTTCTCTCCCAACTTCAGCAATGGCTCCACAGGTAGATGGAAGAGGCTTTGTTCCCATAATCTTCTCTCTCACCTCATTGAAGTCTTCGAATTTGATGATTCTCTTCTTCTCATTGATGGATTTTAAGCATTACACATGTAGATATTTCCACACATCTCAAACATAGTCAATTGTAGCTAATATTTTGTTAGAGTGTTGAAGTATCGGTGACGCTTAGGTCTCCTTGATGAAGATCATAATATTTGTTTTTTATCTCAAATAACTCTACAGTGTTCTCAGTGTCAGGATATGTTTTCCTTGAGGCCTCCCAAATGTTTTTGCCAGTTTTATAGAGAATAAAATTTTCTCACTTCAGTAGTCATTGAGCTGACTAGCCATGAAATAACCATATGATTTTCATTCTTCCATATCAGGAACTGCTCCCGTGAGATGTTCCTCTTTCCATTTATCACCAATGTTCATAAACACGGATTGGAATATTTGAATGAAGTTATGGTCATTGAGTTATGTTTTGTGATGTAGTTAGAAAGTTTAGGAGTCGCCTGAACAGAATCCTTATTCTCTGATTTAAAATTAACCTCCAAAGTAGAACTTGGCATCTATATCTCATATTTGCTCATCATCCCTTGGGGTATTTAGGGTTGCTTCTAGTTGTTGGACTACGGTTGACCATACCTGATTGTTGCCATTGATGTTGTTGTTTCGACTTCAGTTACTACTGCTTTTTCTTTTGTTGTTGTTGCATTTGCTTTTATTGTTGCTTCTGTTTCTGCTTGTTGGTGTGAATTTTATTGTTGCTACAGCTTTGGCTTGTTGTCGTTGCTTTTATTGTTGTTAATGGAAGATTCAGCCTGAGGAGGGTCTGCAACAAGGAAATTCCAGGCTGCATGATAATTCTAGAGGGCCTGAAACTAGGGTTGTCAAAAAAGCTCGTTGTTCGTTAACAGCTAGTGTTCAGCACATAGAGCAGCTTACATTTGAATCGTTTGTTAAGTAAGCAAGCTGAACATGAATATTTTTTTAATCTTGAATTATAAACAAGCTGACACAAACAAACCATTATTCCATCGTGATCGGTTCGTTTTAGCTCGAAATACATAAATTATATATATTATTTATATAATAATATATTATATATGTTTATATCTAAGTTTAAATCACAATAGCTTGTATAGTCATGTGGTTTTGTTGCATAGAAATGATGGAGGTTCGAATATAATGCTCTATATTTATTTTTCTAATTAATTTAAACAAGACAATTACAAGTCGAACACGAGTTCAACAAGAACACCAATATATAAATTGAGTCAAACACAAGTCAATTTCGAACACGAGTCAAGCCTAAGTTCGCTCAAGCTCAACTCTTTTACAACACTACCTGCAACAGGGACGCTTCCAGCTGCAAGGAGAATTTTGTCGGAGGGGCCTGCAGCAAAGCAAATTTTTTATTGCAGGGGAATGTGAACAGGCCTGCAGGGAGAAATCTAGCTGGTGAAGTTTCGAATACTTGCAAGGAAGAGTTTCCGACCACAAGAGGGAGGTCTTGCTCCAGCAACAAAGAGATTTGGCCTAATATGAAATAGGACATGCCGCAAGAGGCAAGTCTAACTCTAGCAAGAAAATGATCTAGCCTGCAGAAAAGAGAACCGGCTACAGGAACGAGATTCGACCTGGCAGAGGAGGTCCAACGGCCAAGCTAAGATCTAAAGCTTTGATACCACGTAAAAATTACTTGGGAAGAAGAATTACTTAATTTTATTATTCACGTGTTGATACATATATAGGGACACCAATCCCTCCTAATTAACAAACATACCAAATATATCTAGCCTAAAATAGGAAAGAAAATAATTATGAAATAAAAGATAAAGAGCATAAAAAAGAAAGAAATAAACACAAATCAAGATTTTTCTAAATTGATCTCCAATCAAATCTCCCATAAGATCTTAGTTGGCCGGTCCATGCTAGAAACACCAACGAAAACTTCTCAGGTTTCCACAATATGAAAGTTAGGAGTGAGGTATGAAAATATATTAGAATTATGTGCTATCTATGTAAATGACCCAACTCTTAAATAATCATCATTTATTCATCAAAGTTACTGAACAGAGCTAAAAGAATTAAACAAAAGCATAAGAAAATACTTTGCAGTGTAAGACATGATGGAGACATCCTGAAAGCCTTCCGAATCGAGAGCTACCCGAATTGCGCCGATGCGCCCATCCATCATATCACTCGGGCTAACAATGTCTGCACCGGCTCGGGCCTATACGCAACAGCAGCTCGAAATGGGATGAGTTGAGGAAGGATTCAAAAGAGTAGAAACTTTAACCATACCTGAGAAACTGCTTGTTTGCACAACTGATGAACAGTTTCATCATTCATGATGACACCTATTCAAAGGGTAAAATGCAATATAACTATTAATGAAATTAAAATTCAAAATATTCCAGCAAAACAAAATAAAAGCACAAGTGACAATGGCAAAATATTGCATTTACACTGAACAATGCAAAAATAGGGTGTCTAATCGCTTAAGAATTTAATCCCCAATGAACTTCTCAGACATGAAGTCCAACAAGGCAGTAAGGCTAATTTTTTTCAGATTTGCGCAATATAATTCATGTAGGAAAAACAATGGTTCAACATAGCCTAACCCAATTTTCATTAAGATGGTCTTACAAAATTGACATGCCATTTTTTTTTCTTACATTTATTTTAATGATTAAAAATAAATATCTTTATATTTTGATGTTCTATAATAAATCTCACAGCAAAAATCTTTATTATTTTGACTTTGCAACCTGAAATCGCACTATTCATTTTATTTAACTATAAAAGAACTGCCTCGTTCAAAAAAAAAAAAGGGGGAAAAGGAAGTCTTTCTATTACAGCAATAAACTCAAATAATTATTTTTTGTTCAGAAAATTTGACAGTCACGTTGCTTATATAGCACTACCTTGTTTGTAACAAATTATCATTCACTCAAGTTCATTTTTTTTAATGATGACCATCTGATCATTTTTATAATTCAATGATTAGTTATTTAGGAGGGGAGATCCAGAGGAATAGCAAGGTTTCCCCATTTCCACTTATAAGTAGAAATGGATCCAGGTCCATTGAAGGGGGCGCAAATGAATATCCTGAAATCTTTTGGTTCCAATTTAAATTATAATCTTTTGTGATGGCAACCCTCTCAATTATCTTTAGGAACACTTAAATACACACCACACTCGATTTCTATGTATTTACATATCTAACAGCTAAACTTTAATTTATATATATATATATATGCCACCTTACCCATGCATGAAGAGTTATTGTTTATAAGTCAAAATAGGGATATATTTTGTGTGGTATTATGATTTGGGTGGTATAAATGTAAAAAGTAAAGTTTAGAAGTTTAGATGTTAGATATGTAAATACATAGGAATTAGGTTGTATGTATGTAATTGAGGCCTCTCTCTCTCTCTCTCTCTCTCTCTCTCTCTCTCTCTCTCTCTCTCTCTCTCTCTCTCTCTCTCTCTCTCTCTCTCTCTCTCTCTCTCTCTCTCTCTCTCTCTCTCTCTCTCTCTAAATATAATCACAACAAGCAAACAACATTTCAACCTGTCCTGCCATGTCCTCCCAGATATTGCCCAACTTTATCTTTTCGCAAAAGGATTAGAATTAAAAGCCAGCAAAGTGATCACATCAGAAGGCAAATTGTTTGCCTAAATAATCCAGATTATGATTTTTTTGCTGTAATGCTTAACTAATGCCTTGATAAAAATTTGACTTAAGAAATTCTTTGAAGTTTCCTCATGCCTTGTTAGTTTTCGTGTTTTGCATTCTCTCATGGAAATATAAAATTAATTTGCAAGTGATGAATTTGTTTATTCACGCAAAACATTTGATCTTTTATTATTTTTATTATGCATATAATTTCATATTTTTGCTATCTTAAGAGTTTTTCATTATTTTAATGCCAACATTTATTAGATCATCACTATAAATAATCATAGTTTATCGATGCACAATTAGTATTCCTATTTTTTCTTCTATTGCTTTAGGGGATCATTTATTTGCCTATAATTAATCTGGTAAGAGTTTTCATGTTTTTATAAACAGAAGACTTATGATCTGCGATACAAAGACTACAAAAGTTAATCCTACACTACAATTGATGATTATTGAATGATTTCTTCGTCTTATCAAACGAATCATTTAGAATTTACCAAAATATGCTAAATATTACATTTCCTACACCCATGTGTTTAACATGTATAACATCCTCATTCCTTGAAAAAAAAATTTTTCTTATCATAAGATCAGACAACACGTGCTTTATCACAATTTATTTGAGTTTTAGTTTTCAATATCTTATCAAGCACTGCATGATTGGTAATAATGTAAGACAATAATAAAGAAAGAAAAATATAACTAATAATCCAAAAACAAATAGTTTTAATAGAATAAGTAAACGGGTGTCCCTCCCGCACTGATGCAAGATGTTCAAAGAAGAGATGGGATCGTGTCCCGTGTGTGATACTCTAGCGACCCGAACACAGTAGATAAGTCGCGTGAACTGCCCTAAATCGAACCGAGCGGTCCCCTTCAAATTTCTTTTCAATTTTTAGCATGTTTCCTTTAATCTTTTCTTTTTATTCATTTCCTATAGATGTGTCGTCTTAGAGTTTGGATAGGCGGAGTTTTGTCGTGTTTCTGCTCAGGGCAACCGTTGGCATCCCGGTTTCTCCCTTCTAAGGTTGCATCCAAGGCCAAGCGGTGCTCCGACTGTTTCTCATTCCAAGGTATTGATTCTCTTTCAAGCGATTGGTGCTCCGACCGTATCTCACTCCCGAGGTGGTATTTATCCTCTACTACACCTCCCCGTGCCATCCCCAGAAAACAGTGCAGCCACTGTTTTTACCACTGTCTCCTGCCATCCAGCCCCGCTCCAGCCATCCCTCCCTCCATACCTGCTGTCCACTGCTGTTTCAGCCACCAAAATCGCATCCCTGCAGCGTAGCTACTGTTCCAGCCCTTCCACTGCACAGCCATGATTGTTCCCGCCGCCCAAAAACTCCACTAGCCACTATTCTTTCACTGTCCAGTCCAACTACCCTCTGCTACCATCACTCCAAACCCTCATCGATCACCACCAGCACCCCAAGATCTATCCTGGTTTGAGTGCTTGTATCATGGTTGTTGCTATTTCAAATTTTCGGGGGTCGTGTTGTTGTATTTTCCTTTCAAGTGTGTTGGTTGTAACTTCCTATTGGCTTTCAATAATAATATTTGTTTTTCCTATTGTGGTTTAGATTAACTCTGGTATCATTTGGTATCAGAACTAGCCTAACTCTAGCCCCATCTTAGGATTTCTAGCATATATCATGCTCAAACCTACCTCCACTCACACCCTCCCCAAAAAAAATTTTCTCCTCCTTTTCCACTCAAACCTTCTTACACTCGACACCATCGCTACCTACACCCCAAACCATCTTAAGTGCCAGGAAGTTCTACCATACATAATGGTAAAACTAGCCACCAGCAAGCTAAAAAAGAGTGCATTATATTGGTGAAAATTTTTGGAGCACCTAAGCCAACATGAGGAAAAGACAAGGTCACTACCTAGTCCAATATGTAATGGGAGATGCAGTGCCGGTACCTACCAACTCACTATAGATTGGAAGTTCATACCCCAGCTTCAAGAAATGGAGAGACCACATCGTCAGGGGACCACCAAATCTAACAGGTTGATTTCAACCCAAAGATCTTACTGCCAAAGTACGCTTAGGAGAACATCCAAGCCAACCCAGTCCGAGGAGAAACTGATTCAGAGTGGAAAACGGATGGAACTAATATGCATTCCAAAATTTGTCTCAATCAGGAAATGTTTAAAGTGCTACGGTATTGAGGATGGTGAATCAGATTGCACAACCAGAAGAATGATCGCTTTCACTGATCAAGGATGGTGAATCAGATTGCACAACCAGAAGAATGATCTCTTTCACTGATCAAGTAGTTGAATAAAAGAATGGTGATCCCGGAGAAGATGAAGGGTTTTCTCAACTTTTAGTTAACGAGAATGGCACGCCATCGATTCCAGATGAATCTATGAGAGATATTCAAGTTGAATTAGCAGTAGCTATTTTAGAAAATAGTGACTCTGAAATAATAAGTGTTCAGGTAGAGTATGAGATACTGTTGTCTCGAACAACCTTTTGGCAGGCATTGAGAAGACCATTTGCAGAATTGACATTATATGTCCAAAAAGTTCATGAGTTTGGGAAGCTGATACCAGGCACAAGGCAACCTCAGATAAGTGAATTTTAGCATTTTCATATATATATATATAGCCTGTGTTTTGAGTTGCCCTTACTAAGGGAGGTCCAGCATATCAGAGATGAACCTCTTTGGTGCCACTTTTGGAAGACTATATGGAGACGATTGGGTGTTCAAATATGTTTAGCGATATACCCTCGAGAGAAGATCAAGGAAGGGGTTGGAGTTAACCAAAATCGGAACGGACTGTTGAATCCTAGAAATCAATTCACCGCTATTCTAACTCTATCACGAACAATTTAATATTTAAAAAATATATGAAAGAGCCACTAAACAAAGCAATTAAAATTAAAAAGAAAAAATTATACATCTCTTGTTATTCTCGTCTTTTGTATATATTTGTTCCTCTACTATTCATCTCGTTTAAATGTTTAAAGCCTAAAAATAATATTGAAACAATATAATGAGTTATCTGAAGATAATCCAAGAATAATCACACTACTAACTACAGTAGCCCAAGAAAAAGAGCATAATATGTATGTGTGTCTATAAAAAAAAGTATAATATATTGATCTTTCATGTTTTTTATAAGCAATCTAATATATATTTATAAGCAATCTGACATATGTTTCTAAGCAATCTAATATATGTTTATGACAATCTGATATTTGTTTATAAGCAATATTATATATGTTTATAAGCAATATGATATATGTTTAAAAGCAATATGACATATGTTAATTAATACATCAATAAACATTTTCTAACTGAACAAACACTAATATTTTATATGCATTTATCTTAACTTTATTTATATTTTATATTTTACATACAAATTTGTCTCTATGAGGATCACCGTCAACAAAGCTAAAACACCCTTGGTCGATATTGTCCCTTCGGCTCCCGTCGGCATAGCGATTAGCGATCAACATATCGTAATTGTTTATGGTGGAAAGACCCTTACCTACCCCTGACTTATATCATCTCGTTGGCACAGCAGTTGGTAATGTAAACATTACAATAGTCTAGGGAGGTAGCTCTGGTATACTCGCCCCTGGTCGATATTATCCCGTCGGCACAGTGGTTAGTGACCTATCAATCACAATTGTCTGGAGTGGTAGAAAC